ATGTGTATATATGGCACCTAGAAAGCCTGAGCTTGGGAAACACAGGATAGGAAGGGGCTTTCTCTGCCCTTTGGCTAGTTCATTACCATCTCAGGTGTCAGTTATATTGTTCTCTCTGTGACTTATCATGCTTAATCCTAACAAAGTAGTTCATTGGTATCTACTGGAGGTATTGTCTATAGGCAGTAGCTGTAGTCTATCTTCAATTTAACCTAGACAAACCAAATGAACTTAAACCTTTCCTGAAAAGTAAGCTTCTCATTTTCCCTAGTATACCCCTAGTATATAGTAGTTATGTGAAATCTCTTTGAATTTGTTAATATATTGACAGGACAGTATACAACATTCAGCTGAAGGTGGGCCAGTACCCTGATCAGTGGTGTCAGAGTCCTAAACAGATATGTGTCCATGCAGAAGTTAGTGACTCAAGTGAGAACTGATGCAATTAGGTGCAGGCCTGAGCTCTGCTGCATGCACCATGTGGCTACAGGTACACCTGGAGCCAGCTCACCTGAATGGAAAAGCCTTTAGGCAGCTCCCACTGCTCTAAACGCTTCAGTGCTTGCAAAACTTGCCACAGATGGGATTTGCATGGTGTGGCATGCCCTGACTAGTGATCTGGCCGATGCAACTCTGTGTTCCCAGCATCTGAAGATACATAAGATTTATCTGTGCTATTTCTTTTTACTTTCTCAGGTTATCTCCAACAAACCAAATTTTAATCAATATCCCATGGAGTCTGAGTGCCTTTCTCACTATATATATAATGAACACTTGAATCAGTGCACTACAGGTGCCTTTGGTACTTCTCTAACTGTTTTGAAAACAGTTAACCTGAATTAAGGCATCATTTGCTATTTCTTGTTTTTATTTAAAAGAGATAATATACTGGTGAGTCATAGGAATCTTGACACACAACTCTTTTCCTTACTCTGTGACTGTGGATGGCAAGTGGTTAGTTTTGTTTTTAAAATTAAAAACAATAACACAGTGGTGTAAATTCTTAGTGCAGGAGGGGTTCATGGGTAAACATCATTATGAGCCATACTGCAGGGTCACATACTTCTCTTCCATCTGTTGTGCCATTGGTAAATTATATAGGAAAACTCCCATTTTTTTGTGCTGACAGGACTAATAAAAATATCAGTATGAAGGCAGTGGCTAATCCTCATGGCAAGTTCCCTCCATGACAGTAACTACTGCCTTGTCTTGGTCTTTCCGTTTTCAAGCGTCTGCTGTCATCATTTGTTAGCTGGCTTCCCAGTCAGCCTTTCACTTCTGGCCTTGCCATGATAATTAGTTACCATGATGAAGGCAATAAGGATATTGAAATAAAACAACAGACTAATGTGATGCAACCAAACACTGCAACATTACTTTTGTATTTTCAATTTCCAATTTTCCACTCCTATTTTACTCTTTCTGAATCAAAAGGTTTTGCACACCCTGCTGATTACAGTGTTTTTGAATATTTCTTCCTCAATAGATTTTCTGTTCTCAAATTGTATAATACGTAATTTTTATGCAGTTTTAACTGTGCTTAAGTAATTACCTGCAATTATATTTCTTGATAATTTTTTCTTGTACCTCTAAAAATGTGTACATACAATGATAATCTTAATGATTTCATCAAAATTATCTTGTGCACCAAAGCTTAAGGTAAAAATGGTAGAAAAATATATGCAAAGGACTTTAAAACTCTGTTAGGTTTTTATTTGCCCTGTTTAGTTTCAGATGAGAAAGATAAATGATGAAACATACTGCGGTCATAACCAAAAAATAAGATTGTGGCTTATTTCTGTTTGCCCCAGATATACCTCCAGGCATCTTAGAGACATGGTGTCTTAGTCTCTTTTCACACAGAAGGGATGATTTCTCAGGAGCAGGCAAAACTCAAGACTGCTGAATTCTATAATTTTCTTAAAAAACCAAGCAATTACATTTGCTACTCATTGTCACTTGTCTTAAAAAAATCAGGGCAAGCATTGCCCTGAGTTTTGCAGGTTATGTCAGTTGGTGTGGAGAACTTGGTGTCCACACAAGGCATGTTTCAAGAGACTTTATTTCAGACTAACTACTGTCAGGCGCTGTTGATAGATTGCCCAGGTAGCTGGAGCTCATCTTCAAGTTTTGCCTCATCTGAAAGGAATTTGTTTCGTAGGCTATAGGATTGTTTTGCGGTACAAACGCTCTCTTGATCCAAACAAAAAAGCTTATGCAGCCACACGCCCAAACAAGATGAATATATGTGAAAAGAGAAAGTTGTCAATATTGTAAATTGGGGAAGTAATCTTGAATGCTGGAACAAAACTACTGGATGATGTATGAAAAAAGAGGTTTGCGGTAATGAAAGGCAATGGTCTGAATTCATTCCAGGCAACTTCCATCCTATCCCTACCTAAGAGAATGCTCTCACTCTGATTTTCTAAGCATAACTCAAAAGGATTGAATTATTTTTCACAGGTAATGTGCTCCCTTCATTGGCTGTATAACATTTATCAAATAAATAAATCAGGTGCATGCCACAGTCCAATGGCAAAAGGACTTACAGTGATACCTTATTTAGCAAATGCATTTTGGAAAAATGCCATATACCAAATGCTACTCCCAAGTTCAGTCTCTTTGCACAGAAGCAGTCTTCTTTGAACATCTCCTCAGTTGCAGAAAGATAAGGCACATCATGATTATTGCTCTGCTGCAAGCTGTGTTCAAAGATGGCACTGATGAACTGTAGACACCTACCTGTGCTTACTACAGCAGCTCATTCTATCTTAGAGCTTTATGAAACAAAATACTTCTGACTGTCTGTGTAGATGAAAAGCTTCCTGGTTTACTTTGAGGTCTCCCTGGTGACCACATTGAATATTCACGTAGACTAGTGTCAATGTCCATTTTCCTTGGACACTTCTCTGCTCTTCCTTGCACAATTTTTGTCCTATAACTGCCATGTTCTCTGTATTTTTGCTGTTTCATGAAATCCAGCCATTTCAGTTGATGTTCCTTCAGCTTTACTATGCGTGTTTTTTTCTGAATTCTGATTCACATCAATCAGTGAATAGCTAAATGATTGAATAGTTCTCATTTTACATATTCATTTTGGTAATGTTTTAACAAAGTCTTTCATACCAGAAACATTTTTACTGGAAACATTTTTTTACTATTAGTAGTATTATAATGAAAATTGGAGAAAGAAACAAAAAACCCCCAACTGACCACAACTGCATACAGCAGAATCTTTAGTGTGTATATCTCAGAAAGAAGTCTTCAAAAGTTATTATTTTTTTTAAATCAGTGCTTCTAGAACAATGTAGCAGAACACATGGAACATCTCACTTGTCTTTATGATAATCAGATTTAACTCATAGGTGTGTGATGGTGGTACAAAATAACAGAAACTAAAAATCTTGCATAAAATTGTTTGCCCTAATGCAAGGAGGTCACGAGAAACATTTCCAAAATGAAATATGGATATAAGTGGTGACTGAGGAAAGACTAGCTGACTGCATAAATCCTGCTGACTTTTCTGAACCACAAATGAATTAATTCTCTGTGTACCAACAGCTTAGTGTCTGGAAGTGTTGCAATGTGCCTCCAGCCAGCACTACTTTGATGGAGGACAGTACAGGATGTAATCTCTCATCTTTGCTTATCTGTGGCCACCACAAGGTAGGCAGGATGTTTGAACATGTTTCCATTTGGCAAATATAGTAGTACCAGAATGTGGAATGAAAGAGGTACCAGGAGTAGAATGAAAAAAACAAGGTGGAAGGGGCAGGACATGTCTGGATTATTCTCCACAGTTTTTGCAGAATACTTTTAATTTGCCTAGCAAATGTGTTTATTATGTATTTTTAACAATAATGAGAACTTCTACCTTGATAATTCTAAAATGTCTGATTCCTGCCTATTTTGGGAGGAACATAAGAAAAAACTTTATCTTACTATCTATTTCAGTAATTAGTAAACAACTAAGTGTCAGTGCAGGCTTAGAAATGCCCATATCCTATTCTGTGTTTAACAAACTACGTTTGAGGAACTTGTGCTTTGAAAAGCTCTGGCTCTAGCTGTGGTGTGCAAGTGAAACAAGAGGAATAAGAAACACCAGAACCTGGCCAATATACTGTTCCCAGAACAGCCACAAGTTAAGTAACCTCTGTCAAATGTCAGGACTACTTAGTAGCTCTCAAGTTTGTAGATAATAACTCAGGGGCTAAATGAGACTAAACCTGTGAGTTCAAGCTTCAGAGCCAAATATCTCAGTGACAGGTGGCAGTCTGGGTAACTCAGACCAAGCTGCCAGAACAGGCTATTGAATAAGCAAATAAATCAGCTGATGTCCTTGAGATGCTCCCACCAACAGCCTCCATAGTCTCGAGGGGCTCTTTGTCTTCCAGGAGTACGGTGTCTTCGACTAGGGAGGTTGGCAGCTGTCCGTCCTACCCCCCCAAAAAACACCAAAAACCCCAAACCAACAAAAAACCAAACCAAACCAACAAACCAACAAACAGCCAGTCACCTCAAATCTCGCAATCTTTACTGGGAGGATTTCCTGGGGCGGAGGCTGAGCCCAGCGCGGCAGCGGAGGGCTGGGGAGGATGGCTGAGGCGTGTCTCCGTCAGCTGTGTAACAGGGCGGGTGGCGTCAGCCAGCCTGGGATAATCCCAGGAGGAGATTCGTAGAGCTGCGCCGCTCTTCCTACTTTGCTCTGACGACCCGCTTTTGCGGCTGGGAGGTGGCTCAGGCCCAGATGGTGCCATCTGGGAGAACTGAGGGCTGGGGACAGTTTAGGCGTGGGAGTGAAACCTGTTGTAAAAGGTCAGCGCTTTCCGTGGCTCGCTTCCTGACAGAAAGCGTGAAAGAGCCTGTTCTCCGCAGCTGGATCTCGGCCCCTGACTGTGGCGGGCGTCCTGCGAGCCCACCGGCGCCCCGCACCCTGCCGGGATCGGCGGCTCCCGCACCGTCCAGGAGCTACAGCCCCTTCCAACGTTTCCAGGAATGCGTCAAAATTTAAACGAAGGGTATTGAAGAATGGTTTCCTGCCGTACCTGCTGAGGGATGCCAGCGTTTCACTGAAAACCGGCTACCGTGACAGTCGCAGTGTTGTAACTACATCCCGGAGTGGGGTGTGGGGGGAGGCTAACCAAGGTCTTCTGCATCGGCTAGGTATGTCCAACGAAATATTTGTAATCGTTTTCTCTAGATCAAAAGTGAGATATTTGATTATTCTCTCTTGAAGAGGAATGGCATACTTTGCAGTTAATAGAAGCGTTTAAGGTAATATGAATATATAGTGGTTTTTTTTTTTATAATTTTAAATGTTCATGGGCTTATGTAGCAGAAATAGTGTGATACTCTGGCTTGCTGTTAGTTCTCTCAATACACATTCTCTCATACAACACAGGACTGTTGTATGTTTTAATATGTCCGTGCTTTTGAATAAGATATTCAAAGAAAAACTGCCACAAGTTTGCCAAAAACAGTGAAATCGATGGTACTTTGAAGTTCTGAGGAGATTTTTTTTTTCTTAATTGAGTAGATCAACTTCGAAAGGACTAGAGAGCAGAGGAAAAGATGGCTATGCCAATTTAATGACAGATTTTAATGAGAATTATACCTTACTATGTGCTCTTGTGGATGTTGTAATTATAATTCAGGTGCATGTATCATTAAAAACCTCTTTCAAACTTTTCTTTTGTTTGGTTGGTTATGGTATGTTTTGGGTTTTTTTAACTTAAATTGATAAAAATATTTCCTTTCAGGTTGAAACTTTATGGACATGGCTCCAGATACCTGGAATTTTTTTTCCCCTCCAGAAAATTTGGGCAAAGATAACTCTAGCTGAATTTTGTCATGAGTGGGCAAACTCCACAGGCTGGTTGCAAGCTCAAGATGTGGACAAAATGACTGGAAAAAGGGAAAAATTTACCTGTTTATCATGGCACAATGTGGTAGGAAAAACATTTACACTTGACTCTGCAGTCATACGTTTGTTATTTTCATCATTAATTATGTGAATGCATGGACAGACCAGAGCCTAATTTTGCTGTTGTGTCTACCTTCCACAGAAAGGGAAGTTTCTCACTGTGAAAAGTAGGAGACAAGAAGGAGTCTCCTCAAAGCAGTTTGTGTGCATGGTTTTAAACAAGGCTATATATATTTGCAAGTCCTCCATGTTGACAAAAGGGCAAGTAATAAATTTAAACAGCTAGAAAGAACACAGAAATTATAGAGAAGCAGGATGCTGGAACTTTCTTTCTGAATGTGGCAAAATACTACTGCTGCATCTGCTGAATCTACTGCTAGGGAAAAAAGAGAGCTCATGTGAGACAACACTAGAGTAAGGTAATGTTGTAATAGAACAGAATTTATGAAAAAACAGTATTTCAGAGGAGTCATAAAGAAATTACCTGGTCATCTTTAAATTGTTTCCATTATAATATTTTCATCTTTTCAAAAATAAAAACTGTAGATTTTTTAGAGTTACTGTCTGTCACAATTAGTGAAGAAAGTTGTAGGCTTTGTACAAACATACATAACCTGCCTTCAGTGATTTTAATGTTTCATGTATTTCTATGCTCAGCATTCTTGTGGGACTCATTCCTTTTAACAGCTAGGCAAGAAAAGACATGCCTGGTGATCTGAGTGAAAATTTGCAATGAGGGAGGAGGAAAGAGAAAGGAAAGACAGAAGCAAGCAAGCAGGCACTGCAAGAAGCAGTGTGGCACTCAATGTATGGCACGCTTCTGAGTCAGCTTGGTGAAGTAAGACACAACAGCTGGAAGTGTCATCTTTTACTACTGTAGAAAATGGTGATCAGCTAAAGATGCTTCACAACAGGATGGGGTTCTCCTGCTTGTCCTTTAGTGTTTGAACAGTTGCATTTGTCCTCTCACGGTGCTGTGAGAGGAGGTAGGCTGTGGTAGGCTGAATTGAAAAAAAAGCAGTAAGGCAGATCAAGTTAAGGAACAGCTTGACACAGGCATGCAACTAACAGATCCTTCTCCAATCACAGTATGGATCAGAAGACTACTAAAGAGTCCTGATAATCATTCTCAACTGTATAAATAAGCAGGTAAAACATAAATGCTTAGATTTTCCAGTGAAGGAAGATCACCGCTGGAGCCCCAAATGCATCTTCTGCTCAGCATGTATTTTTAATGATCCAGACAGAGGGAAACTGTTGCAGTGGCAGAATTTGCCAACAATACAAAGCTATTCAGGCTAGAACATGAATGTGTAAATTGCAAAGAGTAGCAGAAAGATGTCACGATAGTGAATGACTGGGTAAAAATAGCATAAGAAAATTTTTTTAGGTAAATATAAAGAAAATTTAAAATGAAAACATATGGCCAAAATCCTAACATCACATGCTCAGCAGCTGACTGGGTTTATCTGATTCTTAGCACTCAGTGACGAGGTCTTGGAATTTTACTTCATAGGCCCATGGAAATATCAGGTCAATAGTCAGGAGTCCTCAAAGAACAAAGAAGCGGTTAGAAATTATTAGGAAAAATCCAAAAAAGCCCAATAATTGTTTTAGCTTATAAATCCATAGTGCACCTATGTTTTGAAGACTGTATGCAAGTTCTGTCCTCTCCTCCCCATTTCAGACAGGCTGTAGCATAACTGTAGGCAGCACAGAAGTGGGTGGCAAAGGTATTCAGAAATATGAAATCAGATTCCATCTCAGGGACAGTTAGAGAATCTAACACTGTAGCTTGGGAAAGCAAGAAGTGGGAAGGAGTGTGCTAGAGATGTAAAAAACCTTGAGTGCTTAACAAGCTGAATAGGAAATATTTACTCACTTTTTTTCTTCTCGTGTAATAATTAGGAGATCTCAGGTAAAACAAGCAGGTAAGAGGCTCAGTACAAGTCAAAGACAATTCCTGTATTTCATGTGTCCTGAATTAACTGTGTAATTCCTGTATTAACTGTATTAAATTTGATTTTAAATTGTGGAAGTTTATATTAGAAGCCACTAATTGAAAGTTTTCTTTCCATTTCTGTAGGGAAACATGACAGCAAAACCACTGTTTTCATGTAATATTGCAACAGCATTTCTGTCTTTAATTATTGCAAGTAAGTTTATTGGCTATGGAATGTTTTGTTCTGAAACTTATTTTTTTTCACTCAAGTAATAAACTTTCTGTGAAAATGGCTGTATAAGTAAAATCTACATGCATACCAGTGAGTTCTTTTAAACAGTTCCAAGAGTGGAGACCTCTAAAACATATGTGTTATTTCATGAAGTATCTTATCACAGAATCATTTAGGTTGGAAAAGAACTCTTGAGATCGTGTAGTCCAACCTCACTGACAATACCCCAAGGTCAGCTAGAGCAGGTTGCCCAGTACTGTGTCCAGCTAGATTTTGAATATCTCTGCAAATGGAGACTCCATGACCTCTTTAGGCAACTTGTTCCAGTGTTTGATCACCCTTACAATAAAAAAGTCTTTTCTTGTGTTCAGATTGAATGTTTTGTGTTTCAGTTTGTGCTCATTGCCTCTTGTCCTCTCAGTGGGCAATGCTGGCAAAGTCTGTCTCTTTGTTCTTCGTTCCCTCCCATCAGGTATTTACACACATTGATAAGATCCATTTCATCGTGGCTAGGCTTCGCAAACAAAGATTTGGGAAAGGCTCTATCCACATTTGTTACAAGCATGCTGGTGGCTAACACTCTTCAAGCCTTCTCTTCTTTAGGCTGAAGAGTCCCTGCACTTTCATTCTCCTCAAGTGAGAGATGCTCCTTTCCCTTAATCACTTTTGTGGCTATGTTCTGGACTCTCTCCAGTTAGTTCAAATCTAGCAGGTCCTGAAGCACCCCAGCACACTGTTAGCCTTTTTTTGCCATGAGAGGGAGCATTGGTGGCTCATGATCAGTTTGTGGTCCACAAAGACCCAAATGTTCTCTGAAGATCTGCTTTCCAGCTGAATGGTCTCTAGCATGTGCTAGAGACACTATTCCAGACTATTAGCATTTAGTGGCAGAAAAGTGTTATCAGTTCTTGTGGCCACAGCATTTCATAACCATCATAGTTATTGTGGGGCATTTGATACAGATATCTGAGTAATTCAAGGTTTGGATAAGTAATTCGGAAAAGATTTATGGTGAGGTGATGCAAACTGTGGATGACACAAAATTATCCTTTGATGGTTTAAACTGATGTTCACTATGAAGAGGGTGTCTGGATATCAAATATTTTAGTGATAGAATGTCGGTAAGTAAATCAAGTTGGATGTGAAGAGGCATGGAAGGCTCATGCACCTATAGCAGAAGCATGTGTACTGTATGTGTGTGATGTGAGCATAAAGTTAATTGATAACCACCTGGGAAAATGCTGCTTTGATGTCTCTGGATGCTCTTTGGAATCATTAATTGTCATCAGTGGTGAGCAGAAAAGCAGAATTTTTGGAAAGCAGCAGAGTAGAAAGCAGAAAGCTTCATTATGCTACTCTGTTACCCCATGGTAAATGTGTACCTGTTGAACCCTTCAGTTCTGGTCATTCCATCTCAGAAAGATCATTTCAGAAAAGATAGAGAGATGAGTGACAGTGTCATCTGATATGGGATGGCTTTCATATGAGAAGTCACTAAGTGAAGGAGGTAAAGAAAAGAAACTCTGAGGTAAAGAAACTCTGAGGTAAAGAAACAACTGAGGCAAGATGGGATGAAGATCTATAAAATTGTAAATACCATAGACTAGGCAGATGAGAGAAAAATTACCATTCCTCATAACAAGAAACACATGATACCCAGAGAAATTATAAAAGCCGGTGAATGGTTTTTTAATGCAGAACATAAAGGAAAGAAAGGGGCTGAAAGCAAAGTATTACTGTATTTGTTGTATTCTCCACTCTTGCACATTTGGCACTGGTTGTTATCAGTGCCAGGATTTTGGGCTAGACAGATGCCTGCATGACTTTGTGGCAGTTCTTATATTCTAACAAAGCAAGGAAATTTAAGTAAATGTAATACAGACTCAGAAATGGGACCATGGTATCCAGAGTTGGTCCCCTTTTTGTCATATTGCAAAAAGAAACTCCAAAAAACCCTAAGCCAAACTCATGGTATTGCTCTTTTCCTGTATGAGTCTGTTTGTGTCAGAAGAAAATGAGCTCATTGGTGATTGCAGTAATTCCTCTTTAAAATTCATAAAATGAAGGGTGAGTTGAAATTTCCGTTGTAAACTTAATGTTTGTGCAACACAATCTTGTAACTTCATTGTCCTCTTAGGACATTTGGCTATCAAAAGCATAGTCTGTTTTGAGGAATTACTTTGACTACAGTTAAGTGAAGTTAAAAATAAAGACCTTAAATGTGAAATTTGTGTGCATGTGCGTGTTTGTGTATATGCACACGAAACAGACTGGGGAAAAACATGTACTTTAGTAGTTTGCATCTGAAGTTAAACATGCAAGTCTGCTGCAAACAAAGACATTCTACTGAGTGTAAATTTTGCATTCAAAAACCAGTATTTCATTTCGGTGGCACAACTGTATCTGTATACCACTGGGTAGTACTCTCAACTGTAAAGATAAGGAATTTAAATTGTATTTTAGTAGTTGACTTGAGAATGGAGGTGAAAACTCCAGTTAAATTCATAAATGTAATCAGGAAATAAGTTCAGTATATTCTTGTAGAGTGAGTTTTTCTTTAATATTTATCTCTTTCTTTTAGAGAAATGTGAAACCTATGATGCAATGTTGGAGCAAATTCTTGTGCCTGACGGACAACCTCTTGCTGTTAACTGTTCACCGGAAAAGAGCTTGAAAAGTGGAAGCTACAACTTAACGTGGTATAAAGTTGGTAACCAGACAGCTGTGCCTAGAGACAAACTGTCTAGAGTGCATCAGCAGAAGAATTTAATTTGGTTTCTTCCGGCAATATTAGAAGATTCTGGAGACTATGAATGTGTCATAAGGTGAAAATTAAAAAAAAAAATTACATTTTTACAGAAACGAGTTTCAAAGTGAGTAACTTTTAGAAAGCAAGTCAAATTTTGAGAGTAAGAGAAATACTAATAAGAGATAGTGCATTCACAGAAACTAACTTAGACTGGGGAAATTAAGTCTAGTTTTGGGTTCTCCTTCCTTATAGGCAAAAGTAAATCTATTAAAGAAACTCTAAACTTCTTGTCTTCTCTTTCTTCTCCAAAAAGAATGCTGTATATTTTTGAGTTGCAAAATGTGCCAAATAGGTTAATTTAATTATGTTCTGTTAATTGCAGGAATTTGACAAGCTGGAAGAAAATGTGTACAAAAGTAACGGTTTTTGAGAAGATTGATGGTTTATGCTTAAATGAAAAATTTGCTGTAGAGGAGGTGATATTCACATCATCATCTGCAAAGGTTGTGTGTCCACACTTGGATTATTTCAGGAATGAGAAGGATATTCAGCCTGTTCGTTGGTATAAGGTGAGAATGTGGTGATTTTTACTGCCTCATAGCTGTCCGTTATTTAAAATAAAAATCACTGATCTTCGAAAATTGGAGCGGAAAAACTAAAGATTTTTTGTAAAAGGGAGATAAAATTATTTAAAAAAAAACTACAAGAGGATTAAGACTTTTTATCTTTAAAGGTGCATCGGTTTTTTTTATTAAGGGGGTAGAAATTCAGCTATAGATGTAGGAGCGCCGTTGACCCACGTATCCACCAGGGGGCATTTGATTACCTGCCAGCGAAACACACTCGTAAGTTTATTGGAAACAGATTTAGTGTGAGATATCCATTATGTGCTCAGTATTGTTCTATTAAATTGTTATATTTCATGTGGTTCACATCCATTTAAAGGCTCTTTCTGTTACAAGAATGTAGTGCCTTCTGCGGAATTCCTGCCTCAGGCCCATGCAGTCCAAATGGTACCAGTAGTATTTAGGTTCCTTAAAAAATTAAGTGTAATTATTGAGTGATTCTTAATGGATGAATACTTCTACAAATCCTGACGCTTGCATTTTACTTTCTCATTTCTCTAATATTGAAAGTTGTTTTCCAAAGGAAATGAACTGGGGTATCTTTGAATTAAAATCTCAGCTGAAATGAAGCAGCCAGTGCTTTTTATTCCACTGCCCTTGCCCTTCCTCAGCCTCTGCAAGGCATCCATCCCAATGCTGTGGTCCACTGAAACTTGAGATTGCATTAAAGAGAGACAAACCATGGAAATATACAGTGATATGAATTAACAGAGTTCTCTATACATTTTTAGGACTGCCAGCTGCTGGAAGGGAAAAGATTTGCCTTCTCAAACAGTAATCTTATAATTTTCAATGTGACTGTACATGATCAAGGAAACTATACATGTGAAACAACATGTAACTACAATGGAAAACAATATAACATTTCACGAGATGTCAGTCTGATTGTAGAAGGTAAGTAAATAATTTCACTGTGTTTGTGTTCATAGACTAAAGCAGAAAGACCTAATCTGTGGGTAGACATGCTTAGGGCTACTGGTTTTCACCTAAATGTGAGGGAAATAAATGCTGACTGAGGGTATTTATACTTTGTTTGTTGTTGATACCATGTTGAAGATTCATTCTCCTGTTCAAAGTTGCAGTATATCAGAGCTCTGCTGCCCAGACCAGCTGGCAAAGTCCCTAAACAGATGCCCTGTAAGGCTTGGTGGTGCAATATTTTCTACTGTAGCCTCTATCCTGCCCATCTTACTTCTTTGTCTTTTACATTATTCTCTTAATGCAAGAGCAATGAACTAAACCAGCCCAAATAATGGCAGTCTTTACTCTGTGTGTACTATCTGTTTCCTTCAAACCTTTGTCTCTTTTACTTTTGGTTTTAAGCTGCTCAGCACAAGAACTTCTCATCTCTGATATTGTATGTGTAGCTCAGTAAACCCCGATTTATGTCGGGGGTCACCAGCACAACAAAAAAATATGAAAGATGGTGTAGGTGTAAAACATGAAATCCTTTGCTAGCACAGCATCATGAGATTGGCAATGGATCACTGAAAAGACTGTGCTATACCAAGGTAAGCAATACAAGTACTGGTTTTATATTTCAGCTAATGAAAGACATTTTAAGGTTTACTAATATATTGTATTACCATTGAATGGTCTCTTTTTGTGCTTGCCTGTTTTGTCTGTGTGCGTACATACGCATACGTATGTATGTATATACGTGTGTGTGAACATATGATGGGAATATGTATCATATTTATATATCTGTGTGATATGAATAAACAAAATCTGAGGAACATAAGGTTGGATCAAATGAAATGATCATTCTGGTCTTAAAAGCTGGTCCTAGAACTTCTCTCTTAGTGGAATTTCGGCTTCTACGACTGAGTAGAAATAAAATCATATCACTCCTTTGCCATATGTGACTGAAGGTAGCTCAGTAGTTTTTAAAGACTCCAGTTGAGCAAGTTTATACTAAAATATAATTCAAACAATAATGCAGACCCTGTTTTCAGAATGGAAGGGAAGAATATATTTGGGACAATCGTGTACTTTGCTAGGGGACTCAAATGAGATGCTTTATGATTTATGTTTGTTAATTTGTACACTTGGAGAGTGTCATATATGTAGTCTTAATTGTAAACATCTAAAAGGGGTCACTGGTATTGTTCTACCTTATAGATAAGACTGTGGGAAGAAATTTAAGGCCTTTCACTGGAGTATAAAAATTAAATTTCCCCCTTTGAATAGTAGAAGTCTAAAATAGATGAACTGCGGTCTACAAGTTCTTGGCTCCAGTTTGTATCTGTGGGATGCTGGGTGACAGACTATCCAGACTGTAGAGCAGCAGATATTTGCCCATACTCTTCTCAGCACCTGTGCATGCAATACTACAGAATTTTTGTGGCATGGAATAGCCAGTCCACCATGAGTGTGTGGAGATTTGAGGCATTACAATTTGGAAGAGACAGAGTGAAGAAAGGCTTAGCTTCAAGTCAGAAGTTATGACTACCTGAGATATGATACTTTAAGTACTGAGTGATGTTTGTTATAAAATTGCTGACAACCTTGTCTGTAGAACAGACTGTAACTGCCCTAAAGGTTTTCTGAAAAGCACTTTTTTTCTTTTGGTTAGTGAGCCAACCAAAAAAGCCTCCAGAAATATCTTACCCAAGAAACAACTCTATTGAAGTGGAACTTGGTAAGTATTTTTCTCTATGAGAAAGTATGAATTTGTATAATAGTGAAAATTTATACTCAAGGAGTGCCCCATTATGTGTTTCCTTGCTTTTGTCTTTTAGAAAATAACCCAAAAAACTAGTTCAGTAACCAGCTCAATTTCTCTTTGTCGATCTCCCAAAGGAGGAATGTTGAGGGGTGAGAGGGAAACAAATGAGGTGTGTTGCTTACAAAGTCCTAGGGAAATTTCTCAGATGCCAAGAAAATTGTAGGGAACCCAAGTGATTATCTGTCACATCTGTTGCTTTTCATGACTCTGGAAGAGATTCTAAGAACAGATCCATCTCAAATCTTCAGACGAAGTGATGCCCCAGGGGGAGACATCTTCCTGGATTCAGCCTTTTCCATCCTACCATTCTCTTTCTGGATCTGCAGATCACTGACTATATAGACCCTCTGTTAGAGTAACTTTTCTGAAAGGGTTTGGTATCATCCTTAGCTGGTCTGTGTGGGAATCAGTGAACAATTCCCACACTGATATACAATTAGAGAATTGTAGAGACTTTAATTAGGCTATGGAAATTAACTCTTTATTTTGTAACACAATTTTATAGGCTCACAGGTTACAGTGGATTGCAATACAACAGGTGCTGATGGGTATGAAGTGTTTTGGATGGGCAACGGTGTGTATATTGATGTATTTTATATGAGCAGAATTTCTGCAAGTCCCTACGAGTAAGTATATTTTCAGACCAGAAAATACTGTGTTGGCAACCAAAGTGGAACTTTCTCCCTTTGGCATTAAAATATTAATCAACATTTTCCCCTTGCTTTAAGTAGCATTCTTTTTAAAAACTCTAATGCTTTCCTTCCCCAATTCACTTCCTGCTTTGAAATAAAAACTCGAAACATAGGAGGCACATGGACTTCACATGAGATTGTGCTTTTTTTGGTCACTGTACAAAATCTGTCTTAATTTCCAAACTTGGAAAAAAGTGTTTTGTTACAGTCTCATACTTGTAATACAGTAATGCAAGCTCTGACCTGGCAGAGACCTCTTTTGGTTGGATCAGGCATGTCCAGGTACATTATCTCCAGACTCTCTCTTTTTTCTGTGTTCTCCTTTCCCTTCATATCTGCCTCTGTGAAAGGTCACAAGAGGACAAACCTGTGCTTTACAGGAGAAATTGAGAATTCCAGGTTTAAGAGCCTTGAGTTAGAGAAATATAACAGAAATCAGCTGAAGAGCTAATGGAAGACTTCATTGGGGGCATTTGTACTGAAGCTTAGATGGGTGAGAAAAGGAAGACAAATTTCCAGTGATGAGTTGGGTTTTGGGAGGACTTGAACCAAGCAAAGCATGAGAAGGGCAAGAGAGAGACAACGTGATGGTGAAAAGCAGGTTAAATGGAGTTAGTTAGGAGAGAAGAAATTATACCTGACTGGAAAAGCAACTTAAATTGGGGCAAGAGGCAATCTGAAGTTTTCTTAGATATTAGAGGCTGGGAATTAAAAATTACAGGTTTTTTATCAGCCCTTATCTCATGGTGGTTCTGTGAATAAAAAAATGTGGTAATTTTTGTAAATTCTCAAGCACTATCTATGACGAAGAAACTGATGAAGGAATGAGAATGATATCTTCAAAGTAAGAATATAGCTGTGAGAAAAAAGTAGTCATCATAAAACAAAGGGAGAAATAAAGGGCTGAATTATTTGGGTGCTCACAAGGAGAAAACACTGCCTAAAAGTAATATATTATACTGTCATAAAGAATTTTAATGCCATAAAAAATTGGGTCATACTGCAGAGGCACATGGTTACTGAATTGATATTGTAAAAGCAATGTTATTTTTTTACTTCCTAGAGCTTAAATGGTCATCTTTGCAACCATTAGTATTTTGCATTAGTGATGTTGATTTATTCATTCCTGTTACAGTGTTCAAATTACTGTAACATTTTGCTTAGAAAGTGATTCATGTGGTCCTTTATATGCGCTTTATGGTATGTTTTATTCTGCATTTTAAATGATAACTAGACTATGTTTTCAGGAAAGAAAGTGGACTTGTTAGTTAATTTTACATTTGAGGTCTACGATTAACAAGGTAGTGGTATCCCACATTTTGCTGGTGGTTAAAAGTTTGTTTAGTTCATACATCAGTCACACATCACAGTACACAATTAACTGAAAGTTAGTATGAGTGGTTTTATGCCCCATACAATGTATGGGGGATAATCTGGGTCTCTTAATGGTGCAACCTGACACAACCAGCTGTTACAAGTCTGTTCCGATCCATGAGGTGAAGCACTGTTTAGACTCCAATCCCTGTAGCTGGAATCACACTGTGAATTGGTGGTGTCTGCTGCATGTCACCACCTTTGATGTCCTCCTTGTTCCAGAGCTGCTGACCACAAGGTGATACCTTGTTCCAGGGCCTCTTTCTGTGTCATATCCCATTGTGGAATCTCTCTGTCCATCTACTCTTACAGGGGTAGAGAAGTCTATAACAATGGTTTGCTTAGGTTTCTAAGGTGTATTTTTGTCCTTTAAACTATAGAAAGCTTATATTCCTTTGGGGAAACCCAGCTCCAGATAAGGTAATGTCTTGGTGTCTTGATGTTTTCCAACACGTATGCTAAATGTCAGTATGAATGTCTGACTGTTCGGGTTCCTTTCACGTAATGCAATTGCTCATCTGTTGTGAAGTGTGGTTGGCGTTTGCAGAAGGAAATAACCATTATTGTGCTGCGGATATTAGAGATGAAGCCATTCTAGAAAGGGCTGTGGTTTATGGTTCTATTTGTCACCTTTTTGACAGGGAAGAAACTTCTAACGATGGACGCCCTGTGCATTCTGTGAAGCTAATAATTTCAGAAGTGACTAGTGAAGATTATGAACAACCATTTGTCTGTCAAGCTTCAAATGCCTTTGGGCAGGTTGCATCTTATATTATATTAAAGCACAGAGGTAAGAAATATTTATCTTTGAGGCCTGTGATTGTGTTTACTTCCCCAGAAGGTGTTTTGATACTAAATTCTTGTGTATCATTTCAGTAGAAGACAGGTGCATTACAGTTTGCAGTACACATGCATGTGCCTGTGCATAGGGAAAGAATCACCGTAGTAGTGTATTTATCATTATTTAAAAAACCAGGTAAACAGAAATGAAAAATAATGTGAATAATATTAATATCATAATATGAATAATAAATATGAATAAAATAAATGAATAATATTCAAATTTGTATTGCATTTGTGTGAAAGATCAGGTTTGGACAAATTCAACATTTAAAAAACAATATTCTTATATTTTTGTGCAGTTCCTGACATACAAAGATGGCTGACTGGAGTGCTTGTCTCTTCGTTAATTTTAGCATTTATTGTTTTAATAATCTACAAGACTTTCAAGATTGATTTGGTGCTTTGGTACCGTAATTCTGTCTGTGCCCTTACAAGTAAGGAAGGTATGTGAATGTGACCAGGTATGTGCGTAATTATCCTACTGACTTTTTTCACTTGCCATTGCTTCTGAGCAAAAATGGGATTATTTTGTAGAATGTATGTGGACCTTTCATGAGGAATTTTCAGATACACACAAAGACATTTTTTCAGTCATATGGGTAAAATATATAATGCTTGAGGTAATAAAAGCTGTAATATTGGAGACAGTCAAGGTGAGATAGGCCAAAAAGAATTATATGCCATTCCCAAATTAGCATGTTTTTTTTTGCTTTTCTGTAGTTTCTTTACATGTAGCTATATGGTCACTCTGATGATGAACAATAGGTGTCAGCAGAGCTACATCCTGTAAACTAACTGTTTAAAGATGTGCATTAAATATCTACTTTGAAAATCAGACTAGTTTCTCAGAGATTAATTTTGTTGGGGTTTTTTTGTTTTGTTTTGCAATTTCTCCCTTTTACCCACACTTTCCTTCTAAATCCTGTAAGTTATGATGCTTACATGCCAAAGAGAAAATTTGCTACTAGTTCTGTGTTCTTCTAATTCTGTGATTCTTCTTATATGTTTGTGTTTGCTGTACTGTAGACAAATACACTAAGGTATGAAAAATTTGAAATAAGCACATCATAGGTATTTTTTGTATTAGTGCTCAGAATTAGTCTGTCTGGAGTTCCCCATAGCTTGAAAGTGAATGGATTACATACATTGATGTAGTTAATGTTTACTCATGGCTGTCCTAAATGTTTTCACAGAAAAGTAATTTCAACTTCTGGTCAAAAGTTCAGTTTTTATGGAACACTTAAATGGAGTTCTAATTTAAAAAAAAAAAAAGTAACTTGATGAGTTAAATCTGATTTTGGTTTGTTTACTTCAGTCCTGCTTACTGTGCAGTTTTAACTCTCAAGACTTCAGCTGCCTTCTCACCTTTTCTTCTATGTGCCTTTTCCCCACAGAATTATTACAAAAAAAATTGTCATTTTTCCATCCTCTCTTATGGTTAGTCAGAAGTGGAGATAACTGCTGTTGAAATTGCTTTAGGAGACGTGGTGAAGAAAGTCCTGTAAGAGGGCATTTTTTAATGTCCTGACATCTCTGGGGTTGGGAGCTCCTTCCTGCAGGCCCCAGGACTGGCATCCAGCTCCCCTTCTGTCTCCTCCCTTCCCATGATGGGAAAGGAAGTCAGATTCTGATCATCTTTCTTTTGATTTGTAGAGCATTTTAGTAATTTGAAGTTATTCTGTCAGATAGGTGAAATCAGCCCCCCATTATTATTTTTAAACACACCAAAATGGAACTTTGCAATAAAGGCATTTCAGTTTTAGTTTTTTAATAGAAATGTTTGTGTTTGTTTTAGATGGGAAAACTTACGATGCATATGTCCTGTATGCAAAAAGCAGTGAAGGCAAAAGTTTCTATTGTCTGGAGACCTTTGTTCGTAGAATACTCCCAGATGTTTTAGAAAAACAATGTGGATATAATCTCTTCATATTTGGAAGAGATGATTTACCTGGAGAAGGTATGCTTTAATTAGTAGAGTTAGAGTTGTCTTTTGGGACATTGTTCTCAGGTTCGAAGTTTATCTATGCAATTAAAACCTACATCTTTTGAAAAGAAAGCTGTATTTGTTTATTTTTTAATGGATAATCTGTCCAATAGACAGTTTATTTCTTTTTCTTTTTTTTTCCTTACTGAAAATTTTGTTTCAGTGTTATGAGGGTCTGCACTTTCTTTTTATTGATGAACAAATTAGGATTCAACAGCATTAATAATATTGTTGAGGTTTTTTGAATGATATCTCCTACTGGAGGCTGAAGAAAACTAATTTTTTGTCAGCTATTTCATACAGTGGATCATGAATCATGAATGACAGCGTGAAGACCTTAAACCTACCAGTCCTCTGAGCTTCACATATGTGTAATTTTAAAACTAAGAAGTATATTACATCAGTTGTAAAGTTTCTGTGGAAACTTTGATCATTCCTTTATTACTTACAGCTGTAGTCAGTGTTGCCGATGAAACCCTTAAGCGAAGCAGAAGACTGATGATTATTTTGGGATCAGAAACATCTAGTTGCTGCCTGCTAGAAGAGACCTCTGAACAACAGCTAGCTATGTATAATGCACTCATCCGTGATGGGATTCAAGTGATTCTTATAGAAATGGATGAAATACAGGACTACACAAGCATGCCAGAATCAATCAGATACATTAAGCAAAAACATGGAGCTATCCAATGGAAAGGTGACTTCTCAGAAAAATCATGTTCAGCAAATACAAGATTCTGGAAAAAAGTGCGCTATCAAATGCCATTCAGGAAAAAGGTATCTTATTCTGAAGTGTATTTATTGCCATTAACTTCGAACAATTCTACAGCAAAGGGGAGTTAAGAAGCACCTATTAAAATAATACTGAGAAGGTAATTCTGAATTGTGATGTTTCTTGCAAAAAGTCTTCATATTACAAACTAAATGTTTTCTTTGAGATGTAAGAAATAGTCATCCCTTCCTTAAATTACACCTTAAAAGAAAAACTCTGTGCAGCTTTATTTCTGTTCTGGATTTTTGACAGTGACCCAATTTGTTGTGTTAGCCTTCATTAGATACGAGAAGTAAATGTTATGGTGATGGTGGTACACAATTAAATAGTCACAGTCCACATGAATGTCATATGAAGAAGCAGTATGAGGTCCATTTTTAAAAATTGAAACTGCAGTTGATAAATTAAAAATCTGTTTCTATCATCAGAATTTTCCTAGTCTTTCTGTTCTTGTTACTTCTCCATGATTGTCTGACTTCCTCATTGCTGCAGGAAAGCCTGCACTGTGCAAGCCTTGAGGTCCCCTTCTGAGCAAAAGGCCTTATCCTTGTTTCTTTAAGGAGCTGGGGAAATACATGACATAGCAGGTATATTTAAAACTCACAACACTTAATGTGTTTCAGCTGAACCGTTGGTACCACGTGTGTTCAACAAATGGCTTTTTAGACATTTGTTGAATAATTCTGTGATATCTGCTCTTTGTTTGTTTGGTTTTTTTAAAAAAAACTTAGTCTCTTGTAATGGTCAGGAAACTGAAAATATTTCAGATTTTTTGAGAACTGGAAGTTCTAGAATGTGCTGCTACTCGGAAAACCAGAAGTTCTCATTCTGTGTCTCTAACTATACACACAGAAATTTACTGAGAATCTGTCAAAGGACTGTGCTTGGGCTGGGTTTCCTGGAGAGAGTGGAAAATGGCCAGTTCTGAAACATGACCAGCTGGTAATGGCAAGAAATGGTATCTTGTCTAATTGTGAAAGGAAAAGTTAGAAGCATGTGCCTATATCAAACTGCTTGGAAGTAGCTTGGTATTTCTGGAGCCAATCCATTGTTTTGTATGCATCACCATGAGAAAATGGCATGCTGCTTCCTTTTCAAGGTTGTCTGAAGCAGTAGGAGTTTTCATGGTCCAGCCTTGAAGAGCAGCATCTGAGTGCAAATATGAATTATCCTTGTTTGTTTGGTTTTTTGTTTGTTTGTTTTTTGTTTTTTTTTTGTTTTGTTTTGTTTTGTTTTGTTTTGTTTTTTGTTTGTTTTGTTGTTGTTCTTTTCTGAAGTTAACTAGGTTCTTACATCATGTTTATTGCTAGGATAGCATCTGTCAGTTGGTTCTCAGAAGTATGTATACTATAGAATATATTCTTCATTGGGCTGTATTCATGGGAGAGAGAAAGCAAGATCCGGGAATGGAAATAGATATTCAGAGTGAAAGATTTGCAATAGCATTTCATGGTACCTTTTCCTTTGAGAATGTCTAGCAAATACTCCTTAGGAGCAGTTTCTCATTCTCCTTGATGTGGGGTTCACAACTGCATAATTTTCCATAGCCTTGACTGACTTGAGACTTGTTCTGAGTTGTCACCATGAGAATTGAGAACAGGATAGATCCATCAGATGAGATACTGTTGTTATAGTAGATGTTGAATCAGTTTTCTATTTAAAAAATAAATTTAGGAACTTGGATAGTTTAGATAATCATTATTGCCAAATTTTTACATTGCGTTTAGACCTAGACTTGCTCAAGAAAGTTTTGAAAATTACATTTTCCTTCACAGATTTTTTTCATTTATGTTTAAAACCAGAACCCTCTTATTCTCCATGTTGAAGGGGAAAAGTAATAAAGAAAAGATGTTGAAACTGTGCTGGAGTTTTTTCAACTTTCTAATTCCATATGCTTTGAAATAGGATTTGCAGTACTACAGAAAAGTACATTGATTTGCATGGAGTTTTGCTGGCATTTTTTATTTTTTCTGTGAATGTACTGTTATGATTTCTGCCCGCTTTTTTCATAGTTCTTTTCAGAGGTTTGCTACAATATTCAAGATAAGCATTTTCCCACTAAATGAGACTCCTAAAGACTCTTAATTGAAGACAGATGAGAGAATTTATTTACCCGATACTTTCCAACAACCACATTTAGTATAATTATGTAGACATTTTAGTGTTCTTGTGTGAAAGCGAGTGTGGGTTGAGATAAGAACAATTTACTGGAGACAACAATGAGATAAGAAAACAAACAATATCAGCAACAATATTAATAACAAAAGGTATAAGATTAATAAATGATTTACATGTAAAGCCCAAGACAATACCGACTGGCTCTTCCCACCATGTTTTCTCCCCACTGGAAGGAACGTCCTTCTCCTCAGAAGCCAGAGAGAGTCCCTTTCCCCTGCTCTGGCAACGATGTGAGGTGGTATCCAATAACATTAAGGTCCTGGCCACTTCCCCTCAGCCATGCCCCCTCCCAGCTGTTGAAAAAAATTAACCCTGTCCAAAAGCAGGACAGTTGTTTATACTGACAGCAAACACAGTCTGAATGGTATGTGGTGTAAGATACATTGAAAGCTTTCTCTGCACAATTTTTTTACTTTTCAACCATAACCACACATTTCTTCTATTGGCTTGCTTCTGTCCAAATTTATTTGGTGCTCCAGATTGCCCCATCCCTTCCTTACCTTGTGATTAACTTGTCTCAAATTTTCTAATTCCACTGTATCTTTCCATCCATACTGTGACAGTAGTGTTTTCTGGGAGACTTTCTTCCCCTCCTTTCTTGATTTTCCTCCTATATCCCACGTTCTTACCTCTATGGTATCTAGTGCCAAAATATGGCCTGTTTCACGTTCTAATGTACACATCTGTCATGGTTTAACCCCAGCCAAGCACCACACAGCCACTTCCTCACTCCCCCACCAGTGGGATTGGAAAGGTAAAAGCTAGAAAACTCGTGGGTTGAGATAAAGACAGTTTAATAGGGAAAGCAAAATCAAAGGAAAACAAGGAATTAATTCCCATGGACAGGCAGGTGTTCAGCCATCTTCAGGAAAGCAGGACCACATAATGCATAATGGTTACCTGGGAGGACAAACACCATCACTCCAAATGTCCCCTGCTTCTTCTTTCTCCCCCCCACTTTATATACTGAGCATGATGTCATATAGTATGAAATATCACTTTTGTGACTTTGGGTCACCTGTACCTGTTCCTCATGCAACCCCCATCTCCTCACCGAAAAGCAGAGTAGCCCTTGGCTCTGTGTAAGCACTGCTCAGCATTAACAAAAACATCTCTATATGATCAATCCTGTACTCAGGTCAAATCCAAAACATAGTCCCACACTAGCCACTGTGAAGAAAAACCAATCCAGCCAAAAACAGCACAACATCTGTGACTGTATTAGTTCATACATAGAGGCTTATGTGACTGGGAGAAACATGCTCTGAACCCAAACCCAGAATGAGCTCTTAGGACCTGGTAGAGTCAATGCAATAGCCCGAGACAGGACAGCCCTGCCTGACTTTGTTTTTTTTTTTTTATTTCCCCTTTAAAGTTACCTCTGTATTGCATCCAAGAAGGTAGAACAGTACAAAGACAATTTTACATTTTCCCCTTTTCTTGGTGCTTTGAGCTTCTGCTCAAGGGGGAAGCCCCTTCTGCCTTTTGTTCAGAGGCTATGGTAGCTCAACTAATATAACTCTTTTCATAGCTGCAGTTAACTTTAGGATGAAGCAGGCAGAATATAGTTAATGTTTATTAAATCTGTGCTGAGGAGAGACTTTTTATCCTAGAAGTACTAAGGAAGTATTACATTGTAGAGCTTAGGAATACACCTAAGTAAAATCAGTGGCTAGCAGCTTTACTCTGGGGTAGTTCCAAGTCCGTGGTTTATTCAGAGATGCTACAACGCATGAACACAGGAGCAACAGGACTTCCTCCTCTCATCCCTACACATTATTCTCAAGAGTAAAGGCAAAGCACACCACTTGATATGTATGCTTATTCTCTTTTAAGTTAGGATAATATTAATTGGTATGTGATACATTTGTTGAGTCAAACTGAACATTAGTCACTAAAAGTGAGCTAGAAAGTAGTGCAAACCATTTGTTTCTCTGGTCCACTCTAAGATTGCTTCCCATGTTGAAATCGATTGAAAAAAAGGAGTCTGATGTCTGCTGGGCATCAGGGAGCACAGTTAAAAAGTACAACCTGTGCTACTTCCTCTGACAGAGCACCTAGGTCACTGTGACATTACAGCTGGAGTTAGAGCTTTGCTTAACCATGACAGTGTTTATCAGGAGTTACTACTTCACCATGAAGAAAGGTAGAAAGCTCCCCAAGTCATTAAGGTGAATTTTCTGTTCCAAAAAGATTGGTTTTGAATTGCTGCTCCAGATCAAGTGACTTAGTTGTGTACATTTTTCTGGTTCATTTTTGCAGCCAGCCACCCACTTGATCTTGCTCTATTTTTTTTTTTTGAGCACAGCAGTGACTGTAATAGGAGAGGCATTTTGAACGCTGTCTCATTAGTTTTTTTCTTTCTTTTTCATTAAGCAGTTTCCCTAATTGGCTTTATTTCTGTTGGCAATTATTAAAATCCATGTTCTCTCTTTCCCTTATCTCACTTGCTATGTGTATCAGGGGAGTGTTTCCTTTTTCTACATTGTTTAGGGTAACGCACCCCAGTGCTGCCTCATCACTCCTCTAATCTCTAATGCTGATTTGATTTTTTCCACTTTCCTGCTCAGTTTATCTACTGTCCCCTGAAAGATGTGAAGGGAACAAGTCCTTAAGAAGGTATTTTTTCTCTAATACACATACTGTTTGTTTGTTTTCTGTTTGTTTGGGTTTTTCTCAAATATGCATAACAACTATTTCTTGTGTGCCATGGAATTAGATGACTTGGACAAGCAGTTGGATTTGGAAAGAAATTCAAGCTATCTACTCTTATCCTACCTCTCACTCCTAGGGAAGTACACAGACTTTATCAACCAGGTCTGTACTTTTAGGTAAGGTGTGACACAACTACATCATTTCAAATGGAGCATAGCAGAAATGGCAGGGAAATGCATCTTTAGGACCCTGGGATTAGCTCAGCTGGTTAGAGCATGGTCCTAATAAAGTCAAGGTTGCAGGTTCAGTCAAAGTATGGGCCTTTCACTT